TATTTAATAATAACTTGGAAGAAAGCAGGAATAAATACCAAAATCTTTCATTTGGCTCAGGTCTAATCGTATAAATAAGGTTTCTGAGAATATCTGTTGACATTTGAGGAAAAGTGAGATGGAGAACCGAGCAACAGTGCACACACTTTGTAGAACAGTGCACACACTTTGTAGGTCCCAGTACTGGGGCGGGAAGACAGGGGGATACATGGGGCTGGCAACCAGTCGGTTTAGCCTAAGCAGGTGAGCTCTGGGTCCCAGTGAAAGACCGTCTCTAAAAATGCTCAGTGTGTGTAAGAACGAACACAGAGGCTGGAGAGATGGCTTAGTGGTTAAGAGCATTGCCTGCTCTTGCAGAGGACCCAGGTTCGATTCCTAGCACCCACATAACAACTAACAACTGTCCGTAACTCCAGTTCTAGGGGAATCCAACACCACCTTCTGACCTCCACAGGCACTGCATGACACAGATGCACTTACACACATGCTGGCAGTACACTCATACACTAAAATGAAAATGATCATTTTAAAAAAGAATGAAAATGGTTCTGTTCTCCATGTCTCTAGAGCTTAGACTCTGGTTTCTAGAGGATAAAACTGTTTAAACCATTTTGGGGTTTCGTTCTTAGAACAGCTGAGCAGTTTCTGAAGCGTTCCTTAGAAATGAGGGAGCGGGTTCTGGGACCAGATCACCCTGACTGTGCCCAGTCCCTGAATAATCTGGCAGCTCTGTACAATGAAAAGAAGCAGTATGAGAAAGCGGAGGAGCTCTACGAGAGAGCGCTGGACATTCGCAGACAGGCCTTGGCCCCTGATCACCCTTCTCTGGCGTACACAGTGAAGCATCTGGCAATCCTGTATAAGAAAATGGTAAGTAGCCCTCACCATGCCTCCACACTCTACAATGTACCATGACTGCTGCCAGAAAAGCAGTTCACCTTTCAATGGGTAGGTTATTTCATATGAACTTTTAAGAAATCATTTAACTTTTTTCTTTTTTTTCTATTTTTATTGAATTTGTGTGCATTTTATATATCTTAGTCATATTTAGACTCCCTTCCCTATCTGCACCCCCTGTACCCCCCACCACATTTCATGCATTCTGTCATATATGTTAAGGCCTAGTGAGTTGAGTTTGTAGCCCCAGATGTCCCTGGGGTGAGTTCATCCACTGGAGCCTGGTCAGCCTATCTAGTGTCTCTCCCTTAAAGAAGGCCAACTCCACCTCACCCAGCAGTAATAAGTTCCCAATAGTTCCTCAGCTAAGGTTTGGGCTTCTTACCCATTTCCCCAGTTCTCTGCTGGGTTTTTGTCTGATTTGAGTTTGCATGGGCCTTTGCATGCCATCACCATTGCTGTAAGTTCACATGAGCAAGTTCCCAGAAGCCTGGAAAACTGTTTCCTTGTAGTCATCCACCGCCCCTGGCTCTTACAGTCTTTCCACCCCTCTTCTGCAATGGTCCCTTAGCCCTGGGTGGCTGAGGTTTAATACAGGAGTCCTGTTCTAGGGCAGAAACTCTACAGTCTCTTATTCTCTACATTTTGGCCATTTATGCTTTCTGTGTTAATCACCATCAGTTGCATGAAGAAGTTTTGCTGGTAAGAGTTGAGAGATCATTAATATTCTCTTTACCCCCTGTTTCACTATGTTCCCTGGGCGTTAGGTGTAGAGGTTGCATTATAGATGTGTCACTTAGGGCTGGGCATCTCACAGATACTTTTTCTCTGCATTTGACCAGTTGGGGAACTCAGTAATAGTCTCCATCTGTTGCAAAAAGAAGCTTCTTTGATGAGTGGTGAGAGGTATACTTGTCTGTAAATAGAAGGATACATATTTGGCATACAGTAAGAAATTACATTTGTCTAAGGATGTGACAGACATGGGTTTTTCTCTAGGATCTGTGACCTCTCCAGCCATGTGTATTTGGCTATGTTTACAGTAGTAGATACGAGTTCTCTCCCACTGAGTAGGGTTTAAGTCCAATTAGACAGCTGTTGATTACCCACAAGATAAAAGTGCCACTACTGCCCCCAATAGAGATAGTTTGCTGGTCCCATCATTGTTGTGGTTATTAGACATTACAGCTGAGCTGGAGCATTGATTGAGTCTCTCCCTTAGCAGCTTGCATAGTATTCATGGAGGAGGTTTCTAGGTCAGTTCCAACTCAATTGCTCCAAGTCCTGTGTTCGAAGTATGTCCTGCCTCCAGCAATAGGGTCTTACCTTCAACTTCTGGGAGGTAATCAAGGTCTCTGGCAATAGCCTGTGTTATTTGGGGAGTCTCTTGGACTACCCTGAAGAACAACTCGAAGGGGGGTTTCTCCTGTGTGGCACTGTGGTTCTTGTTATGTAGCCTTCAGATATACACACGCACTCATGTTTAGATAAAATAAAAACATGCTGTAAAGATCTAATCTGTCTGATTAATCCTTGCATGCCCTTCCAGTCAGATTATGACTTCATCTTCATTGTCTCTGGACTAAATCACTTGACCTTATATCACATTTCCTCTGGTTCGAGGGTCTTTGAACTCGTTATATTCCTTTCCCCCCATGTTTATGTGTCTTTTTCAGTACACTTTTGACCTAATGCATTTCCTCTGGTTTTCCACACCACTAAGTAAACATTACTTATCTCTCCTCTCTCCGTCTAACCCTTCCTCTGCCCCTCCCCAGTTGAAGTCCCCATTTCCCCACTTCCCCCTTTGATAACACCTACCTCCTATTATCCCCCTCTCTCAAGCTCCTTCTTCCCCTTGTACTCCCCTCCCTCCTCCCTTCCCAGTTAAATACCCCATTTTCCCCATTTCCCCCTGATAACAGTCTCCTACTACCCCCCCACCTTGGGCTCCCTCTTCCTGTTTACCCCAATGGTTCCTTTCCATTTTCCTGACTCCTGCAGTTACATTAGGATATATACTCACATGTAAGGATTTGGTGCTAAGATCCACAATGAGAAAGAACATATGTTCTGTTTTGTCTGACTTGTGTTACTTTACTTAGTACAACAGTTTCTAGTTCCATCCATTTGCCTGTAAATTTCATGAAAAAAAATATTTCATTTATAACTAATTGCAGAAATCATTAAAATATATATTGTTTCAGACTTAACTAAATTAAGATAATGATTTGATTTTCAGAAACTACATTCCAAATGCAGGTCCACTCATCAACATTATATTACATTTTGTATTACATCTCAGAAATTAAATCCAATCGTTACTCTCCTTGCAGTCCAAAGCAACCATAAACACCAGCAAATACACAATGGCCAGGACTGGGGAAGGAGCCTTACTAGTTGACTGAAGTATCATTTTATTTCCCTCTTTTTTGACTTTAAGTGTCACCATTCTTTGCCATTGGAGGGAAGTGCTTGTATATCTGTTAAAGCAAAGCAAATTAGACCCCAAAGTCTGCTTGGAACGGTACAGTGGCAGAGTTGTGCAGCCTGGGCTGAGACATGGCTGTGGCTCCCCTGCCAGTTGCCCTGGCACTGAAATTCATGTAGTAAGACGGGCACATGACACTCTTTCAGCCAACTTTGAGTAAAGAAAATCATCAGAAAAATTTACAAGAGACAGCCTTGGTAGTTGATGCCCTCTGTAAGTGAAGTACAGTAGTAATGAATCTACTTTGGCATGCTTTTCTTTCACTAGAAACAGTGAGTGACGTGTCAAAGGGCCTTCTAAATTATCAAAGAAAACCTTTGTGTTTCCGAACAGCTTTCTTTAGATATTCTATTAGATTTTCAGTTACTTACAAGCTTGATCATTAAACCAAGAGAAATTAAACTGGGGAAAAATACTTTTGTTCCTCAAAATTACTTTTTAATACATTTTATTTCTGTGGAAACCTCTGATCAGACAGTGTTTATTGCCTTAATATTTTTCCTAGATTATACTTTTGTGTTTTAGGGAAAAGTAGACAAAGCTGTGCCTTTGTATGAACTGGCTGTTGAAATTCGGCAGAAATCCTTTGGCCCAAAACACCCTAGTGTAGCCACAGCCTTGGTGAACTTAGCAGTTCTTCATAGTCAAATGGTAAGTTTCAGTGTTAAAAATAATTTTTTGTTATGTGCATGAGTATTTCCCATGCATGTAAGTGCATCTGTGCATTCAGTGCCCTCAGAGGTCAGAAGAGGGCATCAGATCCCCCTGGAAACAGGGATTATGGGCAGTTGTAGGCTGCCATGCTGGTGCTGGGAAATGAACCTGGGTCCTCTGCACAAGCAGTCAGTGTTCTTAACCACTGAACCATCTCTCCAACCCCAAGTTTCAGCATTTTAAAAAATATTTGTTTTTATTATTTTAATTATATATATATGTATGTGTATGTCTATGTGTTGGGGAGGTGGGTATGTGCATGTGAGTGCAGGTGTTCTCAGAGGCCAAAGGCATTAGATCCCTGGGGAGTTGGAGTTCTAGGTGGTTGAGAGCCACCACTGTGGGTGCCGGGAACTGAACTTGTTTCTTCTGTAAAAGCAGTACCTGCTCTTAACTGCCGAGCCATCACTCCAGTCCCGTGTTTCTACATTTTGTAAATCGGTGATCTTAAGGCATAAAATATGGAAAAAGATGAGTTATTGGCATAGTAAAAACATATATATCATTATTTATAAACCAATACTCTTTTTAATACTTCAAAAATTATTGCAGTTAATTTATAAGCTGGTTCCTTTCTGAGTGTGTAACACCCACTGAGTTCAGCAGCTAGGCTTTGCTTTTTACATTCTGGAGACTCCTGTCTGTCCATAGAATATAGTGTTAAGCTTAGAGCATCTGCCAGTGGGACCCATTGACAATAAGCAGGCTTGTGTTTATATTGTGAATTAAGGTCAAATGGTTACTAGGCCAATTCTAAAACTCAAACTTTTTACTTTCTATTATATTGCTTCTCCAATTATTATGATCTATAAAATACTATTTATTCCCATCTTTTAGAAGGATATTAAGATTTTAAAGTATTTACTAAAATAGGTCGGCTCAGTACAGAATACATTAATGGTAATTTCAGAAACACTATATATATGTGAACTATTACTCTTTTTAATAAGAAAAAAACACAGTGAAGCCTTGCCACTCTATGAAAAAGCATTAAAGATTTATGAAGATAGCTTGGGGCGAATGCATCCTCGAGTCGGAGAAACATTGAAAAACTTAGCTGTGCTCAGGTAAGCTCCTGTCTGTCAATAGAATATAGTGTTAAGCTTAGAGCATCTGCCAGTGGGACCCATTGACAATAAGCAGGCTTGTGTTTATATTGTGAATTAAGGTCAAATGGTTACTAGGCCAATTCTAAAACTCAAACTTTTTACTTTCTATTATATTTCTTCTCCAATTATTATCTATAAAATACTGTTTATTCCCATCTTTTAGAAGGATATTAAGATTTTAAAGTTTTTAGTAAAATAGGTTGGCTCAGTACAGAATACATTAATGGTAATTTCAGAAACAGTATATATATGTGGACTATTACTCTTTTTTTAATAAGAAAAAACACAGTGAAGCCTTGCCACTCTATGAAAAAGCATTAAAGATTTATGAAGATAGCTTGGGGCGAATGCATCCTCGAGTCGGAGAAACATTGAAAAATTTAGCTGTGCTCAGGTAAGAAGTTTTTGCCTTTCCTCATCTATGCCATTCTTTAATAGCTTTGACTCCTCAGAGAACAGCACGAGATATTTATTGCTGAAAGTATCATTTCTTGGACAGAGAGTAGCTGCTTGGATCTCATGCAGCTTGAGATACTAAAGTTGCATGCAGAAGCAAAATGAAGGCTGGAAGCCATTTTGGAAGCAAGTATTGTGGCCGATAGTTAAGATGGTTTACACCAGCTAACTGCCTCTAGACAGATGTAGTCGTTTACTGCCCTCAGAGCTGATTTCCATACATGTATGCTGAGTTTTACTTGCTCATTTGTGTTTATCTCCAGACATGGATGATAAATAACACCTTTGAGAATTTTTAATGAATCTGTTACATGATCTTAGTGGTGTGCATGTAAGAAACAGAAACTTGCACAGTGCAGATAGAAAATTTGGGAATCCTGGTTCATGGTCTGCCTGAATGAATAGTGGAAAAGGGGGTGAGACTGGCCAGTTACTCACATGTCTCTGTGTCCCAGAAGGCCGTTTAGAAGCCAGAGGCTGCTTCTGTTAACAGTAGGTATTCTCATGTTTTCCGCAAAGCTACGAAGAAGGGGATTTTGAAAAGGCTGCTGAACTGTACAAACGGGCAATGGAAATAAAAGAAGCAGAGACATCACTTTTGGGTGGAAAAGCTCCTTCAAGACAGTCATCGAGTGGAGATGCATTTAGCTTAAAAACAACTCACTCTCCCAGTGTTTTCTTTCCTCAAGGACAAAGGTAACAGAAGCAGTTCTTGCTGAGTATGATTTAGGCTAAAACAATTAAAATCTGGAACATTAGAATTCGAAACTTCATGTTTTCAAGACCGTTTCTTTTTCCTACTTAGTGTTATTTAAATAGCATTCATATGAAAATGGATTGGATTGCACTGAGTTGTGATTATGTCAAGCTTAAGTTGACTGAATGAATAAGCATCCAATGGGATGAGATCAGGGTTGTAAATATTAGCACCCTAAGATGCCAATGAGGAGTGGACTGGTCTCTACGACATAAGAGCTGCTGGCAGGAGTCAAATTTAAGAACTCAATGATTCTTTTCACTTCTCAAGAACAACTTTAGCCCTGCCATTCATTCCTCATTTCATTTTTATCAGTGGTCTGGCCCAATTCTCTACCTCAAAGAAAAGGTTCAAGGACTAAAGAGATACAATTTATGAAGGTTCCGCTATCTTCAGTGAAACAAATTAGAGAGGAATTCCTGATTACATTTCTTTGTAGTTCATTTTTGGTGATGATGGTGGTGATGGTGTGTGTGTATGTGTCCTTATGTATACATGTGTACGGACAGATGCTTATGTTTGCATGTCCATGTGGAGGCCAGAGTTGCTGTCCACCTTGACTTTTTGAGACATAGTCTCACACTGGGACCTGGTGCTCAATTCAGCTGGCAATCAAGTGTCCTAGGGATCTATCAGCTTGTCTCCACTTCCCCGGAGATGGAATTAGAAGCCTGTGTTACCACCACACCTGGCTTTAAAGTGTATGCTGGGATCAAACTTGGGTCCTTATGCTTGCACGGTAAGCACTTTAACTATTATTTTGTGTGTGTGAGTCTATGTAGCCCAAGTTGAGCTTCAAACGAACTCATGATCATCCTGCCTCAGCCTAGGTGCTGGGATCACAGGTGTGCACCACACCTGGTTTTGTTCTGTTCTTCCTTTCTCCTAGACAGACTGACTCAGCCCCCTGCTTTCTTGCTCTCCACTGTGTATTGTTCATTACAGTTATGTGTCTAGACAGTGTCTGATGCCATCCTCCCAGCAACGTTGCCAGGCTCTTAACCATTCTCTGATCTTTCTCAATCGACATGAACAGGCTGTTTGGTGTGGGTCTGGAATCCCAGCTATTCAAGAGGCTGAGGCAGGAGGCTCTCAGGGTCAACCTAGGGTAAGAAGTGAGTTCAGGGTCAGCTCGAGCAGCTTAGTGAGACCCTGTCACAAAACAAAAAATAAAGAGAGGATGCAGCTCACTGGTAGAATGCTTGCCTAAGCATGCATGAGACCCTGGGTTCAGTCCCCAGCATTGCAAGAGACATACATGACATTCAGTTTCTTTTTGGTCTTTGTTTTGTTTTGGGTCTTTTTGAGACAGTTTCCCTATAGCCCCAGCTGGCCTGGAACTCACTATGTAGATAGACCAGGCTGGCCTCAGTCTCACAGAGATCCGCCTGCCTCTGCTTCCCAAGTGTGAGAACTAAAGGCTTGCACCCCCATGCAAGCTCCATTTCTTTCTTAAATGGCCTAAATCAATCTTGCTTCACCTCAAAGTCAAATTAGTTGCCATTTTATACTTAAATGTCTTAATATAAGCATGCATGAGACCCTGGGTTCAGTCCCCAGCATTGCAAGAGACATACGTGACATTCTGTTTCTTTTTGGGTTTTGTTTTGTTTTGGGTCTTTTTGAGACAGTCTCCCTATAGCCCCAGCTGGCCTGGAACTCACTATGTAGATAGACCAGGCTGGCCTCAGTCTCACAGAGATCCGCCTGCCTCTGCTTCCCAAGAGTGAGAACTGAAGGCTTGTGCACCCCCATGCCCAGCTCCATTTCTTTCTTAAATGGCCTAAAACAATCTTGCTTCACCTCAAAGTCAAATTAGTTGCCATTTTATACTTAAATATAAAAGTGAAATCTCAAGTTCTCTGTTTCTCTGTACTAGAGAGCTACATTTTGCATAATTACTGAAAAATATACATGGCACATTTTTTTAGCAGACTCACATATTGTTGGTACTGGCTGAGGCCTTGGCTAAACTTGAACTTCGATCACTGGAGGTTTTGCTCACAGTTCTCTGAGACCATTTCTCAGACATATGTATTGTGAAGATGACAGAAGCGAAAATCATATTGTGGTTTTGAAATAAAAGTGAAATCTCAAGTTCTCTGTTTCTCTGTACTAGAGAGCTACATTTTACATAATTACTGAAAAACATACATGGCACATTTTTTTAGCAGACTCGCATATTGTTGGTACTGGCTGAGGCCTTGGCTCAACTTGAACTTCGATCACTGGAGGTTTTGCTCACAGTTCTCTGAGACCATTTCTCAGACTCGCAGGGTGGTATGGGAGCCAGTATCACCACCAGTGAACCCGCTCAGAATCTGCCTCCTAGCTAGGTCACCAGGTGATTCATAAGCTCCTAAGTTTAAGAAGCACTGCTGAAATGCCAAGACACTATTATGGTAACTTAAAAGAAATGAGCTAGGGGGCTGGAGAGATGGCTCAGCAGTTAAGAACACTGCTTGTTCTTGCAGAAGACCCAGGTTCGAATCCCAGCACCCACATGGCAGCTAAGAACTGTCCATAACTCCAGTCCCAGGGGATCCGACAGCCTCTTCTGACCTCCGCAGGCACTGCATGACATGGGTGCACTTACCTACATGCAGGCAATACATACATACACATAAAATAAAAATAATAAATAA